AGTAAAATTTAAAGGAATGCTGTCATAGAGGTAACAATGGAATCGCGCAGTTCACCAAGATAAACTGATCGTAAAAAGAGGGTAGGAGTAACATCTTAATATAATGTTACTCAGCACTAGGGACGATCTTACACCTTATAACTATTAATTACATTATAGGCTGAATTACTTTCCAACTCGCATTGACAAGTATTAATATACCATTGAACGTTAAAATGCACAAGAAAATGAGCCTTATAAGTAAATGCGAGAATTGTGTTAAATTTATTTTATGCGTTAAGGAAGGATTCTCATAATGGCTAAAACTGTTGCCTGATTTAAAAACGACAACTATAAATAGAACATTTTAATGGACTTTTAATAAATATATACATACTTCTTAGTTTTTTATTTACATTATAAGTAAAGGTAACAATTATTATCGCATTTTGTAAACGCGCAACATTAGACGCTCAGGCCCAAAGAGACATTTGCGAAAGAACTTTTATCCGCGTATAAAGCAGATACGGTTCGTTTAAAAGGAAAAACACATAATCGTGTGACGAACACGCGGGTACGGCGGGCTACGTGATCCCGACGCGGTGTCAATCGCGACCCAACGGCAAGAAAACATTTATAGGGACGCGACATAATATTTATTTAATAAAATTGGGACTTTCATCTTCACGAATATAATGTCAATATTTCTTGTTCCATTCAAATTAATTGGAAAAGTAAATTTCAATTGGAACAGATTTTTTTAACCACTAAAATAGATAAAAACAAGAAACGTGTAATTTGTACAATCAGCAAGAAGGCAACTCAATTAAGCATGGTTTAGAAATGGTTTGAATAAAACACTTTTTAAATTTTAATAAAGTAAAGTAAAGTTTAATACGCGAAATAAGTATATTAGTTATTAACTAAGGACCATTGATGTCACGGGGCTCCATGTCTGGCTTGTATTTGCCGACATAGGTAGTTGGACTTTAAAAGACTCAGTAATGAAATAAACTTATTAATAGTTAAAGAAATATATACATTTGGGGCAACCCTATCAACGTACCCCCTAACGCGACCGTCTGGCGGGTAGACGGTAAAAAGCGAGTCCTCCACGACCCCCTACCATTAGCCCGGCTCCCGGTTGAATAATTCAAGTTGGCCAATAAAGCAGAACGCGAGAGCAAAATATCCGGCCCCAAGGGACAAGTGATAGACTCGTTTTTCTTTTTCGCTAGACGGTAAAGACCAATTATGGCTGCAGGACTCGGACAAGCAAAATTACTTTACTTCGAGCGAAATATAAGGACAATCGTCAAAAATGTGTCTTATCTTTGATTTAACCACGATACTTGAATCTGGGCACTATATTCCATGTAATACGCTGTAGTAAACTCAGAAATACATACTGTACAATATACATTAGCTGCAACTTGTCAAACAGCTGAAAACAAAAACAACTTGCTTGACAAATTATCGGATAGATTTTTATGGCTTACGACTCAAACTTATATAAAAATCGCTACCACTCATCAGTTGTACCACACTTGTAGATCCAAACGCGTCGAGTCGTAAACACAAGGCGGCTAATGCCACTCGACATTATATTCGCGCTGAGACGGTACACGTCTTCTCGTTACATGCCAGAAAAGCCACGAAACCCATTGTAAAAGAAATTATTTAACTGCTATAAATAAAAACCTTATTTATACCACCCGTATCGTTTTTGGTAATAAAAAAAGGTAATAATAAACAACTTCTCAAATTTGGGATATTGTATTCTCCTTGGGTATGAGGTACATTTTAGACACAATTGTATTATCAATAGTGTCGTAGTCATTTCAAAATATTTACTAAACACGTATAACCACCATTCAAACATCTATGTTTAGAGAAAATGATGTAAGGTAATAAAGCAGATCGATTTTGTATTCGTATGTCACACAATCGAGTTTTGAAGCAATCGAATTGACTTCGTTACAAAGTAAAGGGTCGCGCATCTTTTCTCATACTTTTTTTTAATGATAGAGGATAGCAAGGGATTCCCATTTTAGGGTAGGTGAAATACCGCATCCCTATAAGACTTACAATTAGCTATGAATAGTTGTAAATCCACAGACTCCAACCGAAGCGCGATTAAACTTGACGTATTTATCATCTGTGGATGGTGGTTCGTGACTTGAACGGAATATCGGCATTTTTTCAACCAATGTAAAGTCCAGATTTCCAGACGTTGTTCAACATACTTTAGTTAAATTTATTTGAAACATGTTGGACATAGCCATAGGTACATTGCTACGTCCCGTCAAAATCGAGCATAGTAATATCACCTAACACACTTATAGTTTTACCTACCGCGCTAAGTAAATGTTACCACGCCAAGCTCATAACAATTAATTAGGGAGTGTTTCAATTGGATTCCTAGCCGAATGCCGCCGAAGTATCAAGCCTTTGCTGGCGCGCTTCCAGAACTATCTCATTACACACAGATCTCCGCAGCGGAACTAGAGCTCTCTGAATTTTATTACACTTTATTTAAGTCTTATATTTTATGAGGGCACGTTTATTTAGATTGACGCGGTAAGATGCTTTGAATACGGGAATCCGTTATAGCAACTGATATTCATATGTGGTTAAATATATAATGTCATAACCATTACTATATGAGAGAGAAGATTAGATACGTTTAAAATATCGACGGACTTTTTAACGAATAACGAAGTTCCTCTCTCGATGTGGTTAGTTTGTCAGTGTTTTTGCTTGTGTAGTTCAAGTTTAATAGTACTTCTAAACATTTAACTAAATTCTCATTTACTATTTAAAACATTACAATAAAATATGGTATGTCTGGATAATATGTAATTAATAGTGCATTAATAATCTCTGTCGATATACAGCTAGTGCTAGTTACGGGTCTAGCTCGAAACAAAAAGCGACACGTGCCCTCCAGCGACGGATAAAATCGCTACAGAGGCAAAACAATGGGCGCCGCGGTATCGACAACATAGATGAGCACCCTATCTGACAATGGCTGCAACGTAGTGATGTGATAACCGTATGGATATTCTATTAAATAAAATCTACCTGAAATACTGTCTGTAGTTTACGTGTTTTTAACCGTTAAAGTGTTTTATTTAAAAATGTACCTTTTTAAATAATTCGATTTATCATAGCATATATAGTAGACGGACACAGAAATGGGTTGGCCCATGGCATACCTCTCAAGCAAAAGGATTTATCGATCGGTTTGAGTATCATTTAGCCAGTAAGGGTAGATTTATATTTTCGATTTGTTTTGTATGAAAGCTGGCCTACAAGTTATATTATTAAATAGATACAGTTCTGTTCAGTAGAGGAAAAAATGAAAAAAGTAAAACAATTTTAGGTAATATCGATAACATCACACCACTGTAAGCGCCACCATTGAACTGTGAAGTGCAGAGAGCCGATCAAACTGTACAAGCTGACATCGCGCTACGGCTCTTCACAATCGAGTATCGATACTACACACTGCAGATACATTGATAGCTTTTAGCGCAACACTTGAATATTGGAAATTTTAATATGTTTTATGAAAGCGATATGGGATTGTATTAATATAGGTAGAGAAATATATGATAAATTAACGTTATGACTTTAAATATTAAAAACAGTTCTTGATTGTAAATAACAAGATAAATTAAATACATTTTGTCATCAGCCGATGGAATGATATTAATTGTTTATCGTTTGATTTAAAATAACAATTTCTTTTTAAATTTAAAAATACTTAACGACAGTCAAGGTGATGGCGTAACAGTAATAATAATCTACTTTATTCTTAAATGACAATTTGTCAATTGTAATTGCAATGTTTTGCTAATCAATTTTGGTATTAAATCACCTTTTGGATATTTATATTTTCTTTAATGATATAGGAGGACGGACATGGCATGGGATTCAGTTGATGGTAGGTGATATTCCCCAGCCTATAGCATCTAAACAAGACGCGCTATCGACCTATTTTGGGTTTGGATATTCGGAAATACACAGACTGAAACCCATTTGATATCCAGATTTCCAAACGAAGTGCAGCATGTTTCAAAACATTATACATTGAAAAGTTAGAAACATGTTGGACCTGGTAGGGATCGAACCTCCGATCACTAGCCATACATACCATTTGACTAACGAACCCTATAGAGTAATAAAAAAGCAAGCAAGCAACGTGCTTGTAACAGCACGGCACACCGGCTGAAAATGTTATTACCTTCATATTATATTACCTACTAAATATTACCAGAAAAATCACCAACACAATGGTAATTAATTAACTCATCGCTCAGCTAACGGTATGGTAATTAGTTATCCAATCGCAACAGGCACGGGTATATGGCATGCAATATAGTGGCTTATCGGAAAGCCATTGTTGGTGGGAGATGCGAAATGGGTAGCGGGGGAAGGGGACACGGATAAAGTTGCACCTGTGCCGATTCGCAAATTGGACGCGACAAAAATTGGATTGGGGATTAACTACGCGAGATTCTTTTATGAGTCCCTATTGAATTTTTGAAATATTTGTGTGGCTGTGGGTGGCTATTTACGAATGTTTTATCAATTATTAAATAGGCTCGTCGGTTTAATGGTAAATGTATGGCTAATGATCAACGGGTCGTGAGAGCGATCCCTTCGGGGTCCAACATGTTTCTGATTTTTGAATTTATAATTTGTCTGAAACACGCTTAATCGTTGTCTGGAAACCTGGATATGAAATGGGTTTCAGTCTGTGTATTTCCGAATATCCAAACCCAAAATAGGTCGATAACGCGTCTTGATTTGATATATATATATATATTATAATATGTCTTACAATTACATGATAATTGTCACGTTATCACGTAAATATATATATTATATGTAAGCAATGTACACACATATACGTATCAATTGTACGTTTGAACATTGAAGTTTCCGTATTTCAAATCAATTTTGTGTATCAGTGCGTTGACGTCAGGCGGCGAGAGGGTGCTGTGTGATACAAGTCAAGAGATGCAAGCGAACTTGGCATCGAGGTACTCTACAAAGAAAAATTTGTGTACGTCAAAACCAACAAAAGGGGAATGCCGAGCACGACATAAATGCACATAGTGTCCTTGTTCGAGCTAGATTCGCCTAGTGTAGACTCATGTAGTAGATATTGCAAACTCTTGCATACAACATTTTTTTGATATTGTGCAAAAGGTTAGAACTAACATTTTTTAAACAAAAAACATTCGATTTATAAAATATTAATGTTTATATACCTTGAGTACGCATTCACAAAAAAAGCATTCTGACAAACGTAGTATTTGTAATAAATCAGTATCAACCCGAATACGTTAAAGCTATAGACATGTGCAATATAAGAATATACATATATCGCTCTCGCTTGTAACAAAGAGACAACCCCCAAACAATCTAGTCAAAATACCAATATGTTGTGATATCCCCAACTTCCTCTCATAACAGTGTACCTCAAAGACCAAACGACGTAACAAAGAGTTACAAGGGAAATTCAACCTAGTACAATTAAAATAAGGTCTATAGTATATTCCAAATGTTAGCATAATCTTACACAATAACAAATGTTTCAATATATTCCCCTAATAACATTCATGAACTTTCCGCTTCGAGATTTTTGTTATATCCTGAGTGATCGTTAAGTTTATTTTTGTAAATCGAACGTGTTACTTGTTGTTCCATTTCAATTTATAGCTTTTTCTTTCTACGCTTCTGTCAAAATATATAGTCTTATGAAGATAATAAAAATCTATAAAAGAACTAATGCATGGTAACAGGAGGATTTTCTTTTCCTAAATTAGCGTTAGTTAAGATAAAGCTTTTATTTTTTATATTTCTATCACAACTAGGAAATAGAAGGAATTCTATTTTTTATTTTCTTTTACGAGAGTTCGGTTAAAGAATTACGCCAGAATGATGTCCGTCGGGTCAGCTAGAATAAAAAACGGAACTTACCTTGATCGTGTTTGTCGATTTTATGCGCGGTGAGCGCCAGGGCGGACGGCTGTGAATGCTGAGAGGGCAGTGACATAGCTGGTAGCGCTAGGCCGGGCGGAATAGCAGCGGAGGGCGGGCGACGTTCCGGCTGCTTCGGGCTGTGTCGCTTGCTGTTGCCACGAGACACCACCAGCGACTGAGGAATCTGATAGTCAACATTGTGATTCGTATTTGACTCGTAGCTTGGAATTACCAATACTAGAGAATAAACTAAAATGCAAATTTACTGTATTTTTATATTACAATTGATTGAACATAAGAAGACTACTAAGACTAATTAAAGCTGATAGAACATTTATTTCGATTCACTAATAGCAAAAATATAAAATGGACAAGATTTAAAGTGTCTTGTATGAAATATGGGAAAACGTAAAAGAAAAGTCATTAGTACGCATTAAGATCGATTTGTAACGATAAATTACTACACTTTTACGGTTTAAAACCCAGCCAGTTTCTACAAGTACTAACTAAGACGGAACAGATGGCGGTAGAATAGCAGTTTTTACTTGGATAATAGATGAATGGAGACATCATCCATTCATCTATTATCCAAGTAAAAACTGCCATTAGTCTCCCCGTGACCACAGCTGATGCAAAGCATCCGAAACGTCGGGCCATAATTAAAATAAATTTAACTAATATATTTCGGGTTTTAAACTGTTAAAGTATTTTATTTAAAGATATTCTACTCGTGTAAACTACTACTACTACTACTACTTATATAAATTACTGCATTCTTAACCGTTGCTATTCTCATATTTTATTAGTACCTACTTTAAAGGAAAAACCTGCGTTTTAAACGACCTGAATAAACGTCTCAAATAAGTTTGTTGAGAGATAGAGTTAATAATAATCAACGGATTTAATCATTACCAGCTTGTCTGATCTGTCTCCTGAAGGTAACCTCGCTATTGTGACGTCAGCGCTGTCCTCGGGCGGAGGCGGCTGTTGCAGCCAATTATATTCACGCTTCTCGACCGGCACCCCGCGCCGCTCGTAGTCTTGCGCCTGCGTCCTATCAAAGCACCACTACATTACGACTTAATTAATGTCATAATACAACTTTATAATTGTATTTTCATAACATAACAATTTATATGTAAAGTATGTGTACTTTACTTGAATAAAGAAACATCGTCAGTTCTTTCTCCTTTTAAAAAACATGACATTATGGTTTTCCATTCTATATCTTACTTACAGCCGTACAGTGTACGTCATATTAAAATTATAGATACGCGTAAAGCATATAAAGCTAAAATCACTCACCTTAAACTCTCATAACAATCTAAACATACAACAGCGTAGTCGCCATTTTCTAATAATAACGAATTTTCAGTTCTTCTTTGACTTAAAAATGGAAATTCCTGGAACAACACACAAGTATACATGACCTCAAAAATAACAATAATTAAATAAGCCAACAAGACAGCCATGGAACGACGATATAAGGACGACTCAAATAATTTAAGGTACAAAAATAAATATGTAACGATTCCATTTATATTACAGCATAATATTGACTGGTGATTAATATATGTAAGATTTTTATTCTGTCATGCTGGCCAAATGCGTGTTGGCACATGACAAATATTCTACTGAAAACTAATTTGTCATGACCCACACAATGGCTTTTTCATGGTGTTTTTTCTTTTACTTCGCAAGTGGCATCATGGTATAAATACAAAAATGGGAGGGATTTGACGTTAATAAGTATTCTAAGCTACCTACATGAATAAATTATTCTTGATTTTTGATTTTTTTTTAGGTTAAAGACTGGAGAACTCGCAAAGAATTTTGGATGTACATATTAACAGGCCAACTTTGGCATCTGTATAATGACAAAGTTCTTTTTTTAAGCTCACTTTGATAGGTAGCGCGCGCACTCGTTTTCGGTAAGTCTTAACGGCGCACAGGTGGCAGTGGTAGTCGTGCGTATTGTAGACGCGCCGCTCAGCGGGGTAACTACCACTCTCCTCGTATCTAAAACAAAGAGACAATTGTAACTAGTTAGTTAATAAAGGACTAACATACAAATAAAATAATATTAATACAGTGTAAATAATGTTAAACATTAATTTTCTTACATTAAAGAAGTATTATTAACATTATTTTCAGACGTACAAAAAATATTTTTAATATTCTATAGTATGTGAAAATAACAACATCATTGTTGCCTGCTTTACTCTACAACACGTAATACAGTGGTTCCGTCAATCTCGAAAAGACTTTAATAGAGAACTTGTGACGTATTTTTTAATCTCTACTTCAATACATTATAAGTTACAAAAATCTTATTACTTGTTTCCATCATATCTTTAGCGTAAAAGTACGATTTTCTATAAATCAATGAGTGCATAATATTCTTACCTCCTCCATTGACTGAGTAAGGAATGGTAACAGAATGTACAGACTAGGGCGGAACCGTTATCCCGAAGTTGCTCCGCATTTGGATGACTCTGTAGACAAGAAAAAATATATGAAGACAAAATTTCATAGCATCTACAAAAATACTTTTATTGAATAGGGTTAATACTTGTGCGTGTCAATCCTTTTAAGGAATGTTAATGGAGCTATTATATCGCCGTCGCTATTAAGCATTTTTTAAGTATTGGCGTTGATTTTGAACAACAACAGTAAATACTAAATATGATTGCAATAAAGCAATATTACGATAAAAGATTAAATTAAATAAAAAAAAAAATCTTGCGTCAGAATTTAAGACATGCTACAACACTGATTTTCTGCAAAACGCCGTTTTTTGTCGTTCATATAGAAATTGTTACGTATGTTGAAATGAGAACTTACATATAAGAGTTTATATCGCTGGGCTTCGTTCGATCTACGACAGCAATATTTACAAAATATGTTGTACTATGCTCTTTGTCTTTACCTGGTGGGTTAATAGGCAGGGGAAGTAAGGCGCGTTGCCCTGGGGTTGCCCGTACAGTATCCGCGCCAGTGTAAAGTCGGAGTGCAGGCCGCACAGGAAACAATATATCGACGTGCATGCTGGAACGGTAGAGAAGACTTTATATCACATATAACAAGTACTTACTATTGTCGTTGTAAAATTATTTGTTTCCTATATAACATCAAATATTTTTCACTATCACAAAATATTACAAAATCTAAGAAAACTTATTCAAGGCATTCTTTTTTATACAAGTGTATAAGTGCTTCAAAAACTTATTGGAAAAGCTGTAGATTACTTACCACTATTACTAGCCACCGTCCGATCGGAGGTAGTCGAAGGAGGTGTAGGGATCACTCGTTCCCCGTTAACTGAAGAGTTTGAAGGAAGCGGTGAAGGTATATTATACCTGCAAAAACATTTTTTTAAAATATATATGTAAGTAAATTTATTTCCCGCAAATCCCAAAGCTTGCAAAATAATGGCGGTGTAAAACCTTATATGGCGATTTAAATAATTATTATTTTTATATAAAATAATTAAAATATGTAAGATGAGTTAAGATTGTTATAAAAAAGACATTGAAATCGTTTCAGATAAATGCAACAACAATTTGTTTGATTTCGCACATACAAATTTATACGAATCTTCTCATAAACGCAACTTAATAAATGAGTATAATTATTATTGAACTAATAAAGATGAAAGAACTTTTTTATGCTATTGCTAGGAACTTTGTTCAAGCAAAATATTTATATAATAAAATCTTCTGAAAACTTTAATATTTTTCACATGTTATTGCACATGATGGCACTATATGATTTAAAAATGAAAAATTTTCAGCACGGATGGCTGACGATGCCACTATGCCAGTTCAAGTCCTGCTCAAGTCAAAAAAAAAACAATTTATTTTCGATTTTTAAATAAAATCTTTGTCTCCCCAGTGGGAACTCTGAAAGCTCTACTATTCGTAATACCCACCTTCTGTGTTCTAAAGGTACCCTCTCCGCGTCCATCAGCTCCCATTGCCTCGCCAGATGCCTCACACATCTCGAACAGGCCAATACGCGACCGCCGCGCGGCGTGGCGCCCGAAGCGGCTGCGCCCGCGCCGCACACGGCGAGGCAGGGGAAATGCATCGCGTGCGAGTTCATGTATTCAGCACTCGTTGACAGCCACTCCATAGACTGCTGCGGGAATAAGCCCGCGCAGACGTAGCACCTAGCAAATAGTGGAGTTATGAACCATGTCACTTGATTTAATATAGAAAACAGATGTAAAAACCTAATAATCTTTATATATATATATTGATTTGATATTATTCATATCAAATTTTCATATAGAAGAAATTTCACGACAGCTTTTCGTACAGTTATAAAAATGAGTTCATGGTAGCTCAGCAGGTATTACCTGCTGAGCACAGAACACACTCGTGAGTTGGCGTAGATTTGTTTCCGCAATATAACCATGACTAGTATGTTTCCATAATAATTTGAAAGTGGCTTTCTGAAATTATTCCATTCATTCGAGCGACAGTTGACTCTCACCTATAGAGACCCATGCCATTTTCCCCGCTGACGAGTTGCGCATGCGGACTGGCCGCGAGCGCATTGGACGGCCGTTTCGTCGCTCCACTAGAACTTTTTATTTCATATGGCTTAAATCTGAAATTGAATAAACTAATTATGAAACCAAAGCGCCGACTTGTAATTGAGAAGAAATTTAAATAAAATATTACTAGGTTTAAAACACGAACAACACAGCCCAACCACGTATCCCCGTGACCACTGCTTCTGCAAAGCGTCCAAAACATCGTAAGGAATACATTTATTTAATACATTTCACGTTTTAAACCGTTAAAAGTGTGATCCTTAAATGTGTACGTACTCGTGTAAAAATTATAAATACTTATTATTAGTATTTTATATATTATTAGATAATACTTAATTTCCGTTTCAGCCTGTGGATTTTTGATTGCTCACGAAAATTTTTATTTTATACCATAGGGGCTATAAAAAATGTACATATTTACCTAATGTTATTGTTGGTGTGTGCGTTGTTAATATTGAGCTCGCCGTTCTCGCTGTAGGCGGGATACTTGTGTGGGATGCTCTTATTGCACGACGCGCATATTTGCACCATACCTGACGGTAGAATAAACAACATGCTTTGAAATAATAACAAACAATTTAATTAATGTAGGTACATACATTTTATTTGGCTCCGTAGGTCGATTCCCGGCGGGTTCAACATTTTTCTAATAAATTTATAATTTTTCTGGTTATTAAATGCGTGGTGAAAACCTCGTACTGTGTAATAGCGTTTCGGATACAGCCGATTGATTTCCGATTCAAATTCAAGCGCATCTTTTATAGCTTATTTTCATCTACCAAGTAGACACCCATGCTTGTCTATATTACTCTATCATATTAAAAAGGCACGAGAAGGGCTCGGTTCGTAGTATCGGTTGTGTAGGTCATAGTAGGCTGCTTATATACTTAGTAACTAATAAACAGTTGGAAGATGCATAAAGTCTGCCCAAATAGCCTATAAGGGAATTGAATATTTCGTCAATTTTTGAAACATTCTCAATCAAAACATTGGCCTTCAAGAAAATGTCAACTTACCCTGCGGACTAATGGGGCTAGCATCTGGATGGGGCTTGAGGGAATAAATAAATGGATAATAGGGCTCTCGTTCTGGATTCGGACAGCAATAGACCAGTCTTAGTTGAGAACTCGGTGCAGAGACGCCGCAGACATAACAGACGAAAGTAGCCGTGCTCTGGCTGGGCGGTCGATCTAAGGAAGGCGAATGCGCGTGCGCCGCGGATTTGTCACCACTCGACGCCAGGCTTAAAGGGGATGGAGGTAGAAGGGATGGCGGTCTCGTACGAAGCGTATATACGCGCTCGTGGGGTGGTACACCGCGCATCTGAAAACAATATTTAAAGGATTCATATAGATTGATCGTCTTTGTAGCAAAATGGTTAAATGTGTCGCCTAGCAATGGGTTAAGCGCGTGAGGTCCTGGGTTCGGATCCCGGGGAAACAGTAAATTGTTTCGGTCGGCAGGGCACAGAAGTCTGATCAACTATTTCCCTGTAAATAAAATCGATTTTTAAGCCGGACACAGAAATGTGTTCGCCGTATGCCCCAAGAGGGGAAACGGGATTTTCCTTTTTTAAATAGATTGAATAAATCGAATCGAGATTAGAGACGGAATTCGAACTGACGACCAACCGATTACTGTGTCGCATTGTATTCGCTAGTATATATATACTCAGTGACAAGATATAGCTTATGATGATCAATATTCATATAGATTTATTGCCAAAGCTTTCATATCTGTTTATAGGAATTCTTTATCTTTGCCGAGCAGCCTTCGAGCTACCAGATCCATATTTGTGACATAATCTTAATCTATTCAAACACTAAAAGCAATCTATGTTTTTTGCATATCGTATTTTTATCATAAGAATGATTTATCGTGTTATGATAGATATAAGAGGTATCATGGAATGACAAAAAAATCCCTGATACCATCTAAATATTGTGATTAAGTTGAAACTGTAGTAGAGCATGTCCACATCAGCATTGATACATAACATGAAACGGATGGTGGGTTAGTTTCCCACCCGGTCTTGTCTGAAACATAAGGCAGCGATCGATATTTTGACCACACGACCACAGGTATAACGCACCAGTGAAGTGGTAATCCGAATATTAAATAAGAATAAACCGAAATTGTTCTCTAATTATTTTTAGATGTTTTTCGCTAAGGTATCAAGTATGAGGTATCTTCCATCGAGTGAAGTCCAATGTTTGTCTATACCCGTAAAAGTTATATTTTTTTAAAAATCGAAAAAATTTTCCACTCGAGCACGACTTGAACCGGCATCGTAAGCGTTCCGTGCTGATGAAATTACAAAGTTTTATTTTCAGTGATTTTCTTAAGCTGCAAAGCATAAGACGTGGTATCAATAGGTTGAAATGGTTGAAATTCGACGATGAGGTGTAGGACTCGGGAGCTCAATTGGTAGAGCAACAGCACGGAACGCTGACGATACCGGTAGTCCTGCGCGAGTCGAACATTTTTTCAATTTTTAAATTGTATAGTGCCTTTATGTGCAATACTATGTCAAAATTAATAAAGTTTTTAAAAGTCATATCTTATCATTAGACATCAATAACAATGTTCCAATAATATCAAATTAATCCCTTTTATCTCGTAACGTAGATATAATTTATCTTATTTTGTTAGTTACATACTATGTAATTCCTTATCATTGGAGGTCGCCGAACTAAAAATAAGAACGAAAACGAATTTACAAAGCACTCACTAAATACATTTCATGTGCACGAACACTGAGACTGTAAACATTTACAACGGATAAATTATTTTAAACTATAATATGAAAATAAAAAATTAAATAAATTTATTATTATCCATTACGGAACCCTAATCATTTTGACAAATACGCCCGATAGTATTAAGAAACGTTAATATCAGATGCTAACGCGTGATCGATACTATAGTGGACGTGAGTCTGCTCGTTCACGGGTTATCCAGAAGTCAACTACGATAACCAATGTATACGTATTGATAAAAATAAGTTTAATAATTCATTTGAACGACCTCTTTATACTCTTATAACTTAAGAGCCTTATGAAAAATAATGTTTTTTTGGTAATATTTGACGTTTTGTTTACAATATCTGGTTACAGAACGTGGCATCATTTTAATATCTTCACGCTAAAGCTTATGTGTAAGACTGTTCAACATTAGAAATAAAAATATTGTTATTGTTCTAATGAACTACTAATCTAGCAGATAAAATTATATCAGTACAGAAATTGACGGGTTTATTTTTAATTCTTATACCCACTTGACAGCAAATAAGATAATTATTGACACTTGTTTATGACAGAGGACAGACAATTCACCTTCCATCAAGGAAGGTTAAATACTAAGTGTAAAAAAAATTTAAACAAGAAGCGGAATATACTTTAAATCGTATTTGCCTTCGTTCAATGCGGTGATAAGTAATTGCAGTCACATGCAATGTAAGTTCCTTATCTGTGGTCATACTGATCTTCAGCCATGTGCTGGCTCGACCCCACGGTCTGGGCTATCGCAGGTCAATCCGCGGAGGACAGACCACGTACTTTCATTGGAAGTAAATACGCATTACAACTGTTATTTTGAGATGTCTTGTGTTAAGTTATTGGCGGTTAAATGAACCAAAGTAATTTCATTTTCAATTTGGATAGAAATCCTTGTGTAATTGGACATTTAAAAGGTTTCCTGTACCTCAAAAACTGACGCGACACTATTGACTTGTAGCGGAAAAGCGCACGCACAGTTGATTTCTAGTACTTAGATAAAAAGTAGTTTAACGGTGGAAAATTCTCAAACCTTAAATAAATAAAAAGCCCAACCAACAACTCTCTACGCAAAGTAGAAGAGAGACTTCTCATAAATTGAAAATGTTGAATTTAAAAAAGAATTTCATAGAAAACTATGTATTTTTGTTAATACCCAAAGAACTTAAACTTAGTTCAAATTAATTGTAAATAAGTTAACTTATTTATTTGGTTTTTTAAAACCAGTTACTATCCACAATAAGCCAAAATATTAATGCTTCAAGCTTTTTATGGAAAAAAATCCTTTATACAACAAAAAATTATCAGTCATTAGCACGGTTGTCTGTGCTATACAAATCCAGTTTCAACCGGATCCGTTGCGATACGGTTAACTATGTGAAAAAATACAAACACTTAAATGATTATTGCATCACTCTGTTATCACTGACTTAAGTAAATATAGTAATGCCAATATAGTTCATAAATTACGTTTTTTTAATGTGTTTTTAATATCTTATCAACATCAAAAAATAATTTAGTGTCTGTTATGATAAGCGCGATGATAAACATATTCAGGTACTGTGACATAATCACAACTATTTCAGTTTATTCGGTTAGATGCGATAAGCTGGATTTTTAAAGGTGCAATAATTTTAGAAATGAGTGCAGTGCTCTTCAAACTTTTTGGCCGGGCTAAAGTTAGCCCGGATGGCTGCGCAGGACGCTAAAAACAGGTCTCAGTTGCGAGAAACGGGGTGTGTGGGTGCGGGACTCGACTTTTTGCTTAAAATTGACAATACAAGATGGCGGTCGCGCTAACTTCAGACGGGCCAAATAGTTTGAAAAGAACTGTACCTAAATAAACAGACATAGACAAATAAAACTTAAAAGACAATTTTATATATACACTAGCGGGCCTGTCCCGGCTTCGCACGGGTAGACATAAATAAGTACAGATATTAAAATTATAAGCATGCTAATTAAAACTACCATGAATCACTAAATTAGAAAAAAAAATGTATTTCGCGTCCTAGCTGTTAACGACCTTTGTCTATCACGCTGTGTCAGGAGCCGCTGCGAGCGTTCAGTGTTAGAGTCCCGTGCACGCGTTCGCGAATTCTTAGCTCTATTTCCTTGAAGTCGCTGAGACGAACTTGCATTTTGTTCTGCAAAACGAACTTGAACATTCGGCGATAGATTCTCAGGCTTGCGATTGGGACGCGTACACTATAATAATTTTCTGATGATCATTTTAGGAAGAAGACTCTTCAATACGACAAACTTTGCTAATCTGGCTTGGGAACTATTCTTAGATAGCTGCGACCTTCTTCTTCTTGGCATATGGCTATGAAGGATATTTATTTTAAATCAGAGAAATTAAGAATAAACTAATAATAATACAAAAGAAAATATTCAAGTTCAAAGCGATAATTCTGAAAAGAACTTTGACAAATATTATATACAAAGTGTGATTCCTAATACTAAACTAAGTAGCTTTGAAAATAACTTTTTAAATGAAGCATAAAAATGTTAAAAAAAAAATCGAAATATTCAATGTCGTTCGCGCCCACTGCGTAAGGAGCCCACTGCCCCTCTATCGTCGAAAACTAGCTAAAGCGACGTAACTACAATAGTTAGACATATGCTCTCAATTGTTTTTGTAGATATTGATGTATTCTATAATATTGTCGAACATTTTTTTGTCCTATCATTAATACTTTTCGCAGCGTATGTGAAGAAAGACGTTTTACGGCTAATTTTTTTACGCCTTCCGTTGGTTTTAGTAAGAATTTCTATAGATGACTATAGTAATCAAGTACTAAATATAGCCCATGTTACTCAGTGATAATGTAGCTTTCTAATGAAAAGAGAATTATTAAAATCGGTCCAGTACTTTTTGAGTTTACCCGTTACATACAAAAATACAAATCTTTCCTCTTTATAATATTAGTATAGATATAGCTAAAATTCTCAATTTCCGTATCAGACCAATAAAAAATATAAATTGATATTTCAGAATGTATATTTTGCAAAAATTCACAATATAATGACATTACATATACATATTTTATACAAAATATGTTAAAGTGTGCCCCTAATTGGTATTTATTAGTGTACACATTTAAAAAAAAATTAACACATCACTGACAAAAGATCCACCCATTTGTATGATTTCTACATCAGTTTGCGACTTGTTATTGAATATCTCCGTATCCAACAACTTTGGTTTGGTAACAAAGGCGATTATTTGAATCAATATTTAACTTCTACGAATAATTCGTCGCTTATTGAATTTATTTACAATTCTTGGTCTGGCACGAGTATCACCTATGTCAATATTACAAAACCAACAAAAGAAATATCACGTGCACACTAGCTGTATTCTGGATTGTAGGTGACGTGTACTGTAATAAGTATTGGCTGTAGTTGGTGTATAAGTTTTAAAATACGTATATTTAAACAAAACATTTACGTTTAAAACGCAATATATATATATATATATATAGGTTAACTACTGTCTATAGTGTACGCGAGTAGTACACATTTAAATAAAACACTTTAACGGTT